GGTCTTTTTTTAAAAAAATATTTTTTATTGAAAAGTTTGATTACAATAGTAAAAACAAATACAAACTCAGAGAGAAAAAGAGATAGAATAAAAATGCAAAGAAAGAAAAAGAAGAAAGCAAGATAAAGAAAAGGAAAAGAAATATTTAAAGAAGTGACTTCTGATTTTCATCACAAGTACAAATAAACTTAATTCTTAATTCTTCAAGGTTACAGACAAAAATCAATGTGCAAATAAAAAATCATCAACTTTTCAGTCTTGTTGTCAACAAAAAGTCCATAAAGGATTTTCAGAGCTTTATAGAAACATGTCTTCTTTTAACCTTGGTCAAACAAACCAACTTTATATTCCTTCCTTTTACTTCAAACAATCTTGACCTTTAATTCATTCAGATATTGTTGTAGGACTTTATCTCTCTTCAGTTTTTCTTTTTCCCATCCCAAAGGCTTTCTTTCACCAAACCTCTTTTGTAAATCCAATAAAAAATCGTTATCCAGGTCATTCTCTTGGTTTAATCATTTGTATTTCCACTTGAACCTTCAAAACTTTAACCGACTTCTTTCGTATATGTAGTAAAAAGTCCTTATCCAGGTCATTTTCTTGGCTTACCATTGGTGTTTCCACTTTAACTGCTTTCTCTGTCTTATAATCCATGCTTTTTTTATTATCCAGTATTTCTACATCAGGCAAAATTTGTTTCACATCTGTTATTCCTTCATTAACATCTTTTGGACATAGTCTATCCATGGAAACAGACATCATGCTGACATTGTAGCTGCTAATTTCTGACCCCATTCTTCAAAAATCTCCTGGAATATTTTGAATGCCATAACATGTTGTGTCATTTGTAAATTCCAGTACTAACCAAAAACAAAAGGCAAGTTTTCACTTTTTTTCCTTTTTCCTTCTCTGCATGGAAACTTTAATCCCTACTAGTGTCCAGTTTCTGAAATCATAAAGTCTCAAATCTCTGTTATGACTTAGGATAGACAAAACAATTTAGTTTCTATGAAAGGCTGTTCATTTATATAATTATTTTCAAAAATTTGTAGTAAAAGGCTTAATATTCCAAACTTGTCTAGATCCTTAATTCATTTATAACTTTCCTGGATCAAAGTCTTATTTAGCTTTTTGCCATTTATTTCCAATGCTTTAAATTCTTAAGTTTATAGTTAATTTTTCTTTTGTTCAAGAATGAAGGTGGCTTTTCAAACTTGTCATTCCAAAAACCTCTAATAGCTTTTAGGTAACTAAATAGGTAATTTCAGAGATTAGAAAGTGAGGTTAGCAAACCCAGTGTCCTTTAAAAGGCTCTACCATGGTTATGAGCATGATGGCTTATCCCTTCATCTCCTGGCACTCAAACCTGTGGGGACCACTGTCCTGCGGTCTCATGAGGAGCAGCCATCTGGAGCACATGTGGATAATCTCCTGTCCTCTCCTTATCTGGAGAGGTTCCATAGAACCAGTCTAGTCACCGGTTCTTCAGTCTTTGCCATGGTCATTGTCTCCACTCATTCGGAGATGTGCCAGTTCTCCATACCTCTCCCAGAAGTCACTCGTGGGAAGGAGCTGGGTCTTAACTGCCTTTCTAAAGACTTGCAGGGCCAGGGACAGCCATATATCAGGGGCAGATTGTTCCAAAAGATGTTCATTCACAGGTTTGTATTCACAACAGTATTCAGAAGAATATTGTTTCTGTTCCTACAGGATAGTTAGAGCAGTTGGAGGTAATAGTTGGTACTCACTAACAGACGTGTCATACCTGGAATTCATAATAGGGGACAGCAGTTTGGAATTCATAATATAAAGTCAAAAGCAGGGGTGTGAGAGATGTGAAGCCAAGGGAAAATCCGTAACGTAAAGCCAAGACAGGAGCTTGGAAGAGATAAAAGAGAGACATAAATCTTCTCCAACAGTTATGCTTTATCATCAGTGAAGAGCCAATTGAATTGTTAATAAAGCTCTTAAATAGAGCACCTGTAGGCCCTTAAGAGGACTGCATTTCTGGCTGTAATGTTGGCTGTCCTAGACTTGACTGGTTATGGATAAAACCTGTCCATCCTCTGCTTCTGAGGACAGTGGGAAACAAGAATTAAAACAAATATACCCTCCATCAATTTGTCTTGCCTCCTTGAAATGAGATCCAAGTTGATGGCCATCTTCCTCTGCTCTTCAATATCCTTTTGTGATATGGTAGTCTACAGTATATACAGTCTACAGTAATCTAAGTATGGTTGCATCATAGACTATTATGAAGACAAGGCAACCCCAGCAAATTTATTATTAGCTTCTTTGCTAATGATGCATGGTATATTTGGTGTTTTATAACAGCTGCAGAGTGGATTGACATTTTCACTGAGTTGCTTCCTTCCCTTCCAAGACCTTTTTCCTGGTCAGTCTTTGCCAGTGAAGTTCCCATTAGCATTTATGTATATGTAATGTGTTTTTCTATTATTATTATTTTGCACTTTGAATTGCATTTGGTATTTTCATGTACTTTCTCCTAGTTTTTTTTTTAGTTGCTCCCCTTTTGTTCTTATTATCCTGAATAATTTTGTGTCATCAATAAATGTAGCCATCTCACTCCTACTCACTCTTAAAACCACATTATTTGAGAGTATCAACACTGCCAAAGTTATCACACTCCATATGTTTACGTACTAAACATTTCTGAATTAGCATAATAAACTAATAAACACTAATGAAAGGTAGGGAATCAATTTAATGACCTTTTAAAAGGCTTCCTGTTTTTTTTATGCTTGCTACTATGTATAGAAGTAACCATTAATAGTATTTTATACTGACTTATATTCTTTTAAACTATCCTACTGGTAAAATGAAAACCACAAACCATATGTTCATGATTATTGTGATAATATCTAGATGCTTCTTATATAATACCATTGCATTTTATTATTTTAGAGAGGAATCATACTTGTTAAAGAACAGATATATAGGTAGCCCTTGGTTATCAGTGGCAAGTGGGACTGGCATTTCCATCACTAAGCGATGCAGTTGTAAGGCACAACATCATGTGACCGTGCTACTTAGTGACAGCAGTTCTGGCACTTCCAGTTGTCATTGTTAAGCGAATCCTGCACTGTCATTAAACACTCATGTGGTTGCCATTTGTGACCTCCTGCTGGCTTCCCCATTGACTTTGTTTGTCAGAAGCCGGCAAAGAAGGTCACGAATGGTGATTGTGTGACCATGAGATGCTGCAATATCATAATTGCGAGCTGGTCGCTGAGTGTCTGGATTGCGATCATGTGACCACAGGAATGCTGCAACGGCCAAAACTTCGACTGGTTGTAAGTACCACTTGTTCAATGCTGTCATAAGTCTGAACAGTCACCGAATGAGTAATCATTAGCAAGAACCACCTGTATTCAGACTGAATTTGAACAACCTCTAAGTACCTCAGAATTCTTTAAAAAGTCATAATGTTTCATTACTGTAGTTTTGAACCTATTTTACAGATTAATATATTAGAAAGCAGTGTGCTTGAGAAATAGATGAATCTGTATAACTATTTCAGATAATAGATTTTTCTGATAGAAAAGATTAAGTTCATATTTGTTCTTATGAATTTGACATGAATTAACATGCTAACTCAGGTCATCTGCGTGTACTAACACTTTTGCATTAAAATGAAATCCCAGACACAGTAATCTAGTAAGCTTACTACAGAATGTAACAGCTTATCTTTTAAAGAAAAAACAGTCTGTATTGTATTTCTATTTTTCTGTTTTTTATCTTTTTCTATCTGTTTATAGATAGCTTTATGTGTATGTTCTTAAGGCCATTTGTCTGTAATATTTTCTATAATATTGTGGGCTGCCTGCAAGGGTTGGTAGTTGGAGGCATTGTACTCTAGTGATTTTGTTCCTTCCTAACAGATGGTTCCAGTCTATGTTTGCGGTGCGGGTTTGCGGGGTTGAGGGATCAGGCCCTTCAGTACTCCATTATGGGTTTCCCCAGGCTTGGTCCCTTTCCCTTTCCTCTTCCTGTTTAATGTCTACATAAAAGCATTGAGAAAAGCAATGGCCAGGAAGGCCTTTGCCTACCAGTGTTTGGTGCATCATTTGCAGCTTTATCTAGAACAGGAAGCACTGAAAATGGCCACTCATATTCTTGTCAGTTTTATCCAGATTGCTATAATTCACTTAACATGGAGCTGTTCTTGAAGACCACCCAGAAACTTCAGCTGGTACAAATGCAGCAGCTTGTGTGCTGCTATGGAGGCTGCACTGACTACCTATATGATTTTGAGTGCAACTAGAAGTGTTCGTTGTTATGTATAAAACCCTGTAGTGCATGCCCTGTGGATCTATAAGGCTGCCTTTCCCCGTTAGATTCTGCCCAAGTCCAAGTCCACACATCTTGAGGTAGAAAGACAGCATAAAAGCGGACATTGTCTGGGGGTCTCCCCCTGCGTTGAGACAGCTTACCACTTCAAGGCAAGAGTGGCTCCCATTCTTCTACCTCTCAACTTTCAGAAATCCTTTAGAGAATAATTAGCGTCGCTTCAAGGCACAGATAGATGAATGATTTTGATGCTGATTTTGAATAATGATTTATTATTGTAATAAGATGTTGCATTAGTATTGTATTACTGTCACTTTATGCACACTGCTTGGAAACTTTTCAGATTGAAACAGTTCATACATTTTCAAAATAAGCAACTGTATGTCCTTACATTTTTGGAAATTGTGGAATGGAGACAGCAAGTATCAGAAAATAATATACCTTGTAACAAAAATCCAAACCTATGGGTGTATTTTTAGTTTTATGGGACCACTAAGGAACAGGAATACTACATCCCTTCTGCCATGTTCAGTCATCTTAATATTTTAGAAAGGAGACTTTTATGTGACCTCCAGCTGTCTAGCTTTAATCGTTAGGAACTGAACAAGCTAAAAAGGTATGGATTTATGCTAATAATAAGGTAACCTTTTAAAGATTTATGGTATGGATGTTCTGTTAGCTAAGGAGTAGCAAGAAAATAGAGAAAAAATGTATATACATTTAGATGTCATTACTTGAACTAAGCCAAGTGCTGATGTAAGTTAAACCATTTGGCATCTTTGAACATAGGAGAGAAATGGGTAGAATAAATGGTGGGGGAATGTGAACTGATGATTTATTATTAAACAAACATGTGGAATAGTATAAGTAGAACATAGAGTAAAAAATGAATTTTACAAAATTGATTTGTCAGCCAAACATTTGCTGCTGAATAACTTTCATTCTCTTCATGGGCCTTACCCTGTTTGCCCAGCTTAAGACTTGAGAAAAGTGTCTTAATATGTCATATGAAAATGGAAACTTTGTACTGTTTCAAAATATATTGTTTGTTCAGTTCTGGTAATCTAGAATTATAGGGCTTGTATATTTTTAAAAGCTATATCCTTTTTAAAAAGTAACCTCCTTCTCTTCTTCTCTCTCCTTCTCTTCTAGTGAAAGGCTAAGCAAATTTAGAGCCTAGCTATGCATAAAGTTCATATTTTAAGACTCCTATTTTCATCTAGACTTTTCAATCTTAGATTGACTGGTTTAAAATAATATTTGGTTCTTAACAAGAATCTTGCTGCTTTGTGGCTGCAGCAGTATACTCTGAGCCCACTGTTAGAAGTTAAGAAGTTTGTTCCCAAGCTGGGCTACAATAAAAAGCAGGAAGACACTTGTGGAGCGATCAGGACATTTTTTATTGCAATAGAGCCCACATCAGGAAGTAGGCAGAGATGGGTGGTGGCCACCCTGGGCCATCCCTTGCCACCTCTCTTACAGATTTCTAGTTCAAAAGTTTAAGTCAGTCATTAACAATGAGGGTGTAAGGCATTAGCTAATCACATGCTCCCTTCACCTATTTTACGCTTTCCGAGCATGGAGCCCCACATGCAATTCCCCTCCCTTCTTATCTGTGGTTAGTCACAATGGCTACAGAGACAGTCCCTGCAGTAAATAACAATGTCTAAGTCTATATTCTTCCTTTCACACAACTTTTGCAATGTGCTCATTTACCCATGACAGTGCTAGGCCTCCCGTGCAAAATGGCATCATTGTTGCTCATTATAACTGTTTAGCTTCTCATCAATTCTTATGCTATTTTAGATATTATTGTAAGAAAATATTTGAACGTTGTGACTGTCAGGTTCGGTCAGCACGGGGCTTCGGGGAAGCTCATAGCCAGCGAACTCCACCGGCGGCAGCTAGCGAGGGAAAGAGGAACTGAAAGTGCCGCTAA